CATCAGTGGGTTTTGACCTCACAACCCACTACTTGAACATATGACAACTTATCTATTTCACTAAGTTATCACACTCTTTTTTCAAGATTGAGATTAATAATTTCATTGTTTGTTACTACAGATTTAAAATAAGCTTTAAGATAGCAGTAAAAGAAATAAGATATATATTTAAGATTAGTAGATGTATTGTTTAGTTAAATAAAGATTTGTTTGGATTGGTCAACTAGTTTATAAAGTTCTTTAAAAAGTAAGAGTATATAAAATGTTATTGAGGTAAAAGTAAAAAGATTTAAAGTTAGATATATATTGTTGAATAGATATAGTGTTAAAGAATTGTTTAAAGTAGTAAGAAGTTAAATTGTAGATATTATGAATTACTTTTGAGTTAAGAATTTTATATTTTTCCAGATTGGTACAGGTGTATATATGATGTATTGCTGTTTTGATGACATAGTTTGTTTGGTCTTAAATGGATCAGATAGTTGGTAGTTCAGGTTTTTGAAGAATTAGTTTTTTGTATTTATTATTAGTTGTTATTTGGTATTTAATATAGTTGTAAACTTTTTGTTCATTAATGTTACTAAATTATTTTTTGTAATATGTAAAAAATTTTTGAAACCAAATATCAAATTGTAGTTTAATTAAATGAAAAGATAAAATATAATAGTTTATATTAAATTTTTGAAGAAAGATATTTATAGTAATATTGATATAGAATTTAGAAATATTATAAATTTGTAATATAAGAGTATTGCTTTTCAAAATGTTTAAAATATGGTTTATATATATAAAGGTTTTTAGATAGATAGGTTTAAGTTATAAATCATGAAAGAATTTTTGATAATCAATAGTTTAGTATTTGTTATGTAGGAATAGATAAAGTTTGGCAAGGTTTATAGCAATTTGAAATCATTTTTTAATTGAGTAAAAAGAAATAAAATAGTATGAGTTAAAGAGTTATTTGTAATTTATTTTATAAAAAAGAGTATAAGTAAATTTGATAAGCCAGTTTTTTATTGTACTGAGAAGAATTTTGAAAAATATTTTGGTTGCTTTAGTAATATGTGAATTTTGTTTAAGCTTGTGTCTATAATAAATTTAGATTTTTTGATTACTATAGTTTGAATTAATAAGCTAAAATTACTTTTTATAGCTGGTTTATTAATTGTTATAAAATTAATAATTGAACTAAGATAAAAATCTTTGAGAATTAGTTTTAAGAAATATAATATTTTTTTTTTGAATTCAAGATGTCATGAATATAAATAAAGAAAAGTTTTCTAAAATAAAATAACTTTTGAATCAGTCTAAAAAGTGATTTTGTTAAGTTGTAGTTTGTAGATTTATTTTGGAATTATAAGTGATAATAATAAAAGAATATTTAAAGTTATAAATAACTTTGAACAATAATATAAAAAAGATTTTTTAAGTCATTTATAATATGAGTAGAGTATTTTATAATATAGATAACAAAAAAAAGCAAATAAAAAGAATAAGAATTGAATGAGAAAATTGAGTTTTTCAAAATTGGCAATAAATTTTCCAGAGAACAAGTAAATTTTCTAGATTTCTTTAAAAAAATTTGAAGAAATGTTAGGTATTTGGATATTTTTAAGATTGATAAAAAGTGAAATTTCTGAAACACTCTTGTAAATTTTCTGAAATTGACTAATAAAATTTCAGAAAGAAGTTTGAATAAAAATTTAAAGAGAAATATTGATATTTTAATGGGTTTTAGTTTATTAAAAATGAAATTTATATTGAAATAATCATATTAATAAGCTGGATATTTTTATTTAATAAAAAAGAATAAGATTGCTTTGTAAAATTTAATGAAAATTAAAGGTAACATGAACTTTTGACAATACTATTAGACTGGTTAAAGCTCATAAAACACCTTTATAAGAACTAAAAGTTAAAACCAGACATCAAATATATGTAGAGGAGCATATAACCAACCAGACCACCAGATTTGCCAAAGGAAAAGGATACAAAGTATATCATACCAGACCATCTGGATTGGTAGTCTGAAATGAGACTGACAGTTCTAAGTTGCGACTAGTAGGAGATGATGAAAAAGAAGCTAGGAAGATAGGTACTGGGGTTCTAGTAGACTTTACAAAAGTAAAAATAATGTAATATAGTAGTTAAACAGGTAATCCCTATGACTGCAAATGTTAGGTAACTATAGCATGTTGCATAAAACTAGGTTTATATGTATAGAATATAAAGACTCTAGTAAGTTTTCTGTTAAGAATAAACTAGTTCTAAAGGTAACAACAAGCATTAAGAACTTGAATGGGTGTAGCCTTGAGATGTTTCTGTGATACAAGAAGAACTGCATATGCAGAGGGTTTAAATAAGCAAGATCTCTAGTCAGCTTACAGGTATAGTAACTAATATAGAACTTATATAGTAATATGTAAACAGACTACTTAAATTAGGCACCAAAAGTACACATGTGACTAGTTGTAACTTCCAATATAAAGTGAGCCTCTGATGGCATGCTGTGTCTTAATATACTTGAATAAAAACATTGCATTCCCAAAATAGAGACTTTAACTATAAAAAAAAAAAAAAATTTGATGAAAATTGAGAAAATGTGTTTTTTTAAAAAATATTAGTTGGTATATAATATAATAGTTAGAATTTGATAAAATTAGTATAATTGGAAGCAGAAAGTTTGGTATACTTAGTTTATTTAGAAGTAAAAGTATTTAATTAAATATAAATTAAAGAGATTTTAAAAAAATATAAATAAAAATAATTTTATTAAAATGTAAAAGTTTGTTGTATTGAAAGATTAAGTTTGAATAAATTTGTATTATTTTTAGAACAAAAGTTGTAAGAAAAAAGTTTAATTAGAAGTTTAAAAACTATTAGTTTAGTAAAATATTGAGAAAAGTTAAATTATTTGTTAGAGAAAAGTTGGTTTTAGTGATTTACAGTAAGAGTTAAATAATTGGCATCTTTTCTTAAATAAATAATAACTAAAGCTGTATATATAACTATTTATACTTTTATAAACTATATATTTACTTAAGATATTACTAACTAATAAAAAATTATCAGTTTGAATAAATGATTAACTGCTTATTTAATATAAAAAAAAAAAAAATTAACTTGCATTTTATTTATAAAAAATATTTAATAAAAATTTATTTTATAAAATACTTATATATACTAAGAAATACTATATATTATTGTAAACATTTTTTAAATATTTATAACAAGTTAACTAAAAAAGATATTAAATTTAAAATAATATATTATATTCACTAAATCTAAAATTTTTAAATAAAAAAAATTCACAAAATTTTATATAGCAGTTTTTAAAATAAATAAAATTACTGTATATAAATTTGTGTAATATTATACAAGAGCAAAAATAGTAATTGTTATATTAATTATTTTATATTAAATTTTAATTTTTGTAGGTGTGACGACTTAGTAAAGTGGATAAGTTATTATCTTTTCAAGTGATAGATTAGATGTTCAAATTTCATCAATGATGAAAATTTAGATAAATTTCTCTATAATCATACAGTATTTTTAAAATCCAAAGAGTATTCAAAATTACTTATTAATAAATGTTCTAAATAAATATCCAAAAACTATAAATAATACGTATACTTTTGTACCATTATGATCTCTTGAAATACTCTTTTGATCTCTACTCAAAGCCGAGTGTGTTAATATATGTTGCACGAAAGTCATGCATGTTACACAGAATCGATTTCTATTAAAAGGGTGATATCCCTGATAATAAAATTTCTTATTTCTTAGTACTCTTTAATATTAAAAAAAATTTCTTAGTACTGTATTACTTTCAAAATTTTATCATGGAAATATCTCGTCTTCAAAAAGCTAAGGAGGCAATCGAACGAGGCGCAGCGCAATATCTTGAGGTATACTAATTAAAAAATTTTTATTTGTTAGATAATTTATTAAATTTTTGTTTTTTTGATCAAAGAAAATCGCGCGGGATCCAATGGATAACAAAGCGTATATCGCTTTTGAAGATATCCTGGACGAATATTTATCCAATCCTACATCTTATATTGAACAAGAACAAATTGAATTGTTAAATTGTATAAAGGATGTCACAGTTCCCCTAAAAGATGAAGAACAAAAGGCAGGATGTCATTTGTCTATAATTTGCCATAGATCAACTTCTAACATTATGATTACAAAAATATTTAACAGATTAAACTTATGGACACATTTTCCTGGAAAATTTTCTCTTTGATAGTGCCATTCTTGTCATCATATGAATCAACATCACTTATAGTTCAAGAAATTGTTGATGTTATGGCTCAGCTTAATGTTCGAGACATTCATGTGATACTTTTTGAAAGATTTAGTCTACTTGATTGGAAAAATTCAGAAAGTTTTGTGTCTGAATTTATCGGACTGATAAAGATTCTCAGAATAGGTGTTGCATCTTAAATTGGTGCTCGTGATTTTAAAATTTCATAGATATTAATTCTATCTGATAGTATTTCAGAGGTCCTTTCAGAAACTTCGCCCAAAAATTTTTTCGAAATTTTTGGCCGAAACCCTCCAATATATTGTTAGAGCATGGCAAACATTAGAAACTTTAAAAAACAAAAATTTAGATCTTGTCACTGAATGTCTAATCGGGTTCACAGAATTTGTGGTGCAAACAATTGACCTTGATAGCAAGGTTAATAATTCTTAGCACAGGTAGAATGTTATCTAATGAGGTACCAATATGTATCCCTATTGCTTCCTATTACTACTGGATTTTTGGCTTCAAAAGAGGTCATTAGGGTATCTGTCATTAGCATTAATCAGAATAATATTATTCTGATTTGATACTTATTGATGTCTATTGATACCTATTGACGCCAAAATCCGGTAGCAATAGGGATGTTCATTGATACCCTATTAGATATCATTTTCAAAGACTGCATTCCCATCCGGCTGATTGTTTCCCACAATTCATTTTGTAGGACCTTAAACTTAGCATTACACCTGATGATATACCCGATCAAGAGTTTTTTTTGATCAATTATTTAATTGTTCAATCCTTTGAAGAGTTTTGTCGATCATTTCACATACCAATGTCATCTATTTATTACGAAACTTTTCACCCAAAGTTCAACGTTCCATGGAAACAAAAGCAAAGAGATAATGTTAGATTGATTGATCAACAGCGATTAGGCAGATTGATCGTGAGTAATTTTCTATCACAATTTTAAATTTAGATTGTATATTAATTGATTTCCCTTTCAGCGTGCCGCTATCAAATCTCGCATTTCCAGTGACCAATTAGTGAATTATATTATCCAGATGAGCAAAAATGTTACCGGTAATTTAAAATATTGCTCACCTTAAGTTCTTAAGTTAACAATTCGATATTTTCACCTAAAGTGTTACGTATAACTAAGACAGCGAAGATCACGTCAAAGATGACATCCAGGAAGTAACGCCGGAATATATTGACTCTATGTTCGAAAATAGAGAAATTTCAAAGCACAAGTTCGATACTTCTGAATATCCTATTTCTCCAAGAGGAGTAATTTCTTATCTAGCATCTGTAATATATTACAAGTCCATGGCACTTGAAGGATCGAACACTCTTAAAAATGTATTTTCAGAATCACCAGAGAACATGTTTAGGGAAATAATTCCTATTACTTCTATAGTGTTTTTAAAGTAAGAACGTTATAAAATATATCTCCACATTTCATAATTGGACATTACAATATTATGAATAATTGTTATTGTTATTTGCATTTATCTTCTAAAGACACTCTCAAGAGAACGAAATAACTGACAAGACGTTACTGGTGTTACTTTATTTGGCTGAGAGAAATGAAGAAAGTACCGTCACAATGCAACACTTGACTGCAAACTTGTCAAAGGATGAAATGACCCTAGGTTCATTGTTCACGGTACTAATTCACGGGTTTCATTAAACTGTGTTTATAAATAAATCCTCATTCTAACAACATTTTAGATGATTTCCTCTTTTGCATCAACTTCATCTGAAGAAACATTGCGTTTCAACTCGCATCAATTATTATCCCGACTTATTGCATTATGTACAGATGATGCCAGAATGTTTTTATTGCAACAATTATTAACAAATAGTCCATTTGAGCAGATGAAAAGTGCTGCAATTGGTATATTGAAGGAGAATGTTGCTCAGCGCTTGGACCAAGCATATACTAGAAAGTCCAACGATGAAGTATGTACTGTGCTAAATTGATCCTTCGTGGTGCTGATTGGTCCTAAAAGTTCTTTTCAGCGCCTATAGATTCCAATTTTATTGGCTCAGCGGGCTAATTGAGCAAATATTGTCATTTAGTGTCCGAAAGGACTTTGGGATCGATTAAAATCTTGCCTTCCCTGCAATTCGTTAAACTTTAATTTATTAATCAATACAAGGCAGCTACATCTGTTTTCGCAAGCCCGTACTTGATCGAAGGTTTTTTTCCTACTATTCTCCGATTTAAATCTATTATTCCGGCCGAATTGGCATCAACAGAAGAACAAGAAACAGAATTTGAAGAAAAGCACAGTTTTATGATGCATGGATTAAATTTTTACCTTTTCTTATTAATGAGAGATGAGAAAAATAAGGTATTGCACATATTAATTGACATTTGTTTTTTTAAAGAAAAAAAAAAAGAAATCATACATGCTATTTTATAGACCGGCGTTTGGCATTTAAATCAATTAAAACAAACTAAAGATGAATACTTGGCTCCAATACTGGCTGAATGTGAAATTTTGATGTCTAAATACGAAAAAAGTCTGAAAGAATTGAATCAACCATGCTCAGGTATGATGTCTATTTGCAGAATATAATGCATAAATAACAAGTTTATTAAAATACACCAGTGGCGTTTAACACCATAGCTACTGTATCTCAACAATTAGATAAATGGTTGGTGCCTGATGTTTTAAACAAAATGTTGGCGCCACAAAAAACCTATTTCTAGTTTTAATTTTTACCTCTAATTTTACTCTAGTTTTTAATCCCAATTCAAAATTTCAACAGTAAAATTGTTATAAAAATGCACGTGGTGTTGAATATTACTGGTGTGTTTTAATATTATTTATAACCGATTTTGCTAAAGTATTTAAAATTTTAAACGCTTTATTTTGTATAAAGAGAATGTATGTTCTGATGTTCAAGAAATTGTTACTTTAGATAAAAGTGATGAGGATGTTGATATGCATACTAAATTAATTCAAAAACAAGAGGTAAAATCTTGAAGTTTTTAAATTTTTATCAATATTAATTTTTATTAAAAAATTTATATTTTTAGTTTTTGCAACATAAATTATTTAATATATTTCTTTTACAAGATGCTATTGAAAGAGTTTATCAAACTATAAAAACAAAGTCAAATAAAGTATAATATAAATAATGTTTTTGGCAAAGGTTTTAATATTAAAATTAGTTATATTATATATATAATTGTATAATACGTATTATAATACAGTTAAACCTTTAAACCTGATTTTGTTAAAACTGAAAACCTGTAATTAGTGATGTATATAAATATATGTTTAAGCAAATTATTGAACATGAACAGTTAATATTTAATATTCAATGTTTATTTGAATATAAATATAAACATATCTTTTATATGTTTATAAACATGAACTGTTTATGTTTATGGACTGTTTGTTTATAAATCAAACCTGATAATTTGACATTTTTAATAACTAATATTTAAAAATTAAATGTTTATAAAATATTAGATTTGACAAATAAAATACAATGATTCGATTGGCTCAAATCAGATTTTGTGTAATATATTGTAAATATAAAAAATAAATTTAACTAATTATACTACAACAGAGTAAAACCTAAATCTGAGTTGGAATTTTATTGATGCAGATTATAACTAATATAGTACTTTTCTAACTCTGATCCTAATAAAAGTAAAGATTTGCATCAAATGCATCAAAAATATAATCTAAACAACTCAGACTTTATTTTGTTATATTATATATATATTTTTTTTTTTGGTATTAAGATGATTTTTTTGGTCTTTTAACATTTTATTAATGACTTATTTGGTAATATAATTCTATGAACCATTATAGAAAAGTGTACAATTAGTTATACATGTAATGTTTTTATATTACCTATTTAAGAGTCTATCTAAAGGTTTTTTACTAATTGTCATCTCTAACATTCTTGCTTAAGTGTTTCACTTTAAACCTTCTAAACCTGCAACTTATATATTAGTCAAATATAAGAAAATCGATCACCAATTAAAATAACCAATTCAGTTTGAACTTGACTGTTAATTATTAATTGATTTTATACTGAATGACAAGTCAAAATCAGTAGTTAATTGACAGTCAATTGCTAATAACATTTAGTATAAATTCAGCTAATTAATTGATAGTTAAGTTCAGACTAAATCAATTATTTTAATTAACAGTCAAATAATATAATAAATCAATTTATAATCGATAATTGATTATTAATAACATTTGGCTTAAATATGAAAATTTGATATCTGAATTCTGAGTGAACTTAATTCATTCAAAATTCATGTACAAACTTTAAAAACAAAATTTATACTGAATATATATTACTATATACTTAATTAAACTAGTTTATTAAAAGTATTCAAAACTTGCTACTAATTATATATTTTTATTAGCAAAATAAAATAAAAAAAATAATTACAAAATTTATAAAAAAGATTTTTCTAAAAAAAGATTAAATTTTTTATTTTCTTTGTCATTTCTTTATAGAATCAGAAGTTGGTCTTATACTAATTTTTTTTTATATATTTATGTATTTTTATTATCATTACTATCTCTACTTTTATAGCTTCTTTTTTCACTACTACTTTCTTTCTTTTCTTTCTCCTTTTTTTTCTTATTCTCATTCTCATTCTCATCATTATAATTATTTTTACCATCTTCATTTTTATTTACTGCCTAATTAGAAATATTATTAGGCCAGGTATTATTAGTGTATATGATGATCAACAAGGACATCTAAAATTAGGTTTCATAATCGTATCAAGAATGTTATATAATAGATTAATTAATTATTAAAATAAAAAATAAAAATTTTATTCATTTAATAAATTAAGATTTGAAATATTGAATTTTGTTATGTATTTGATTAATTTTGGATATGTTGAATAATATATTATATATATCATTTAATATATCAAATATTAATTGTCAAATTTTTATTAGTATAATACTAACAAAAAAAAGTATCTTTTTCAATCTTCAAGACAAGCCATAAACATTAACATATATATAATCTTTTTTGTTTTTTTCTTGATTAGTATCTGTTAATTTAGGTGAATAAACATTCTTATTTGTTAATAATTGTATCACTTCTTTTATATTATAATTAAAAATCCACTTGTTATTCTTTCTATAAAAATACTTGAATATTGCAGTCTGTCGAGACATTTTTTATTAAATTAAATCAAAAAATTTAATTAAATTATGAAAACTAAAATTTAGTAAATTATGACTTAAAATTGACCTAAATTTAGCTAGGAATTTAGATCGATTTTAAGTCATGATATATATAAAAGAAAAATTCATGTATTAGTTTTTTGATAATTTTTATATATACATTTATTGAAATGCATGCTTCAAAAGTTATCTTGATATATAAACCTAGTGTTATGTTTTGATTTGAGATGCTGCTTTAACATGTTAGCTAATTCAGTCTAATTGGTACCAAATTATTCTGCAAGAAGATTATATAGTATAAGAATTATAGTTTCAAATAAGCAGTTATTTTGTTCCTATCATATCTCATTGATATTAAGGTCAAATTTCTATCTCTTTTTTTAAAAATCTTAAAAAGTTCATGTTATTAATAAAATTAGTTTTGATTAAAAAAACAAAAATAAAATAAAATAAATATATGTTGAATATTAATAAAATTAGAATTGATTTAAAAAAATAAGTAAAAATATATTAAATATAATTAAATATATTGTATACTCAAAGTACCTTTTTTTTAATCTTATTATTCTCAAAACCAAGCTGTCTTACTGTTTTCTCTATACTTTTCATAGAAACAAACCTTTTTGTATAGCTAATAAAGTTTTAGTCCTATTTTTATTTTTTCAATCGGTCTGCTTTTGTATCATTGATATATAATGACTTAAAACTTGCAATGTATTAATATTATTAGTTAATATAAAATAGAAGTTTTGTAATGCTTCAATTGTATTTTCTAAACATATTATTTTATAGTCATGATCTCTCTAGATCTCATGTAAATCATTGATTTTAGTTTATAGTAAATGATTTTTTAAAAAAAAAGATAGTTACAAATTGAAAGAAAAAGAAATAAAAAAAATAAATATTAGTTATAAATTGATATAAATTTGATCATCATTTAAATAAAAAAATAATAAAATAAATATTAGTTATAAATTATCATAAATTCAGCTATTATTAATTTGACTATATTTAAATAAAAAAAATAATAATAAATATTAGTTATAAATTAGTATGAATTTAGACATCATTTAAATAAAAAAAGTAAGAAAAAGAAAAAATAAAATATACTAAATATTAGTTATAAATTAACATATATTTAGTAGTTATTCAAGAAAGAAAGAAAAATAATAATTATAAATATCAAGATATATTCAGTTAAGTAAAAAAAAAAGAAAAATTAAATAAAATATTAGTTATAAATTAGCATAAATTTATCATTATTTAAACAAAAAAGTAAGAAAAAAATTAGTAAATAAAATATTAATTATAAATCAATATAAATTCATTATCATTTAAATAAAAAAAGAAAAAAATTAGTAAATAAGTTACAAATTGGCATGTTTACTTTTTTTATAATAAATAGAAATTTACTTTTCTTAAGCCTTTTATTTCTATCCAATAATTCATAATTCAATAAAGATTTTACTTGTTTACCACTTTTACTTCTACTTTTATTATTTCTGGATCTTAGTAGTGAATAAGATAAACAAATAGTAAAAATAATAAGAGAAGTAATAGTTCTTTGAGAAGAAACAATAATAATCAGCTGGATCAAAATAGTGAATAGTTGGATCAAAATAGTAAATGATATAGTCAAAGTAGTAGATAGTTGAGTCAAAGAAATGGTTAATGATTGGATCAAAATAGTTAATGATCTGGTTAAAGTAGTAGATAATTTTATCAAAGAAGTAGTAGATAGTTGAGTTGAAGTGGTTAATTATTTGGTCAAAGTAATGGTAAATTGTTGGGTTGAAATAATTAATAGTCTGATCAAAATAGTAATAAATGGTTGAGTTGAATAAGTAGTAGATGGTTGAATCAAAGAAGTAGTAGATAGTTTGGTTGAAAGAGTAGTGGATTGTTAAGTTAAAGAAGTAGTAGATAGTTGGGTTGCAAATTGAGAAGGTTGTGATGTTTGTCAAATATGTCTTGTTTTAGTCATAATAAAAAAAAGATAAAATTTTTAAATAAAAATCCAAAGAAAATTTGAAGAAATAAAGTTCTTCAAAAAGAAACAGTTTGAATTAGACATATTTATAAAAATTTTTAAATTTTGATCACTTAAATAACTAATTAAAAAAATAGCATACATTGTTTTTGAATTTATATTCTAAAATTAAAATATGACAATTATTATATTATAATTAGTATACTTGTTATATATTAATTTATAATTTACAATTTATAATTTATATATTATTTTAAAAATTATACTAATTAGAATAACATATTAAATTTAATTATATTAATATTAATATTTTTTAAAAAAAAATTTTTATTAATATTATTTTATATTATTTCAAATTAATATAACTTTAAAAACCATATATAACATCATAGTTAATTATAATAACTGATTATATAAAAAATGACTTGTTAAGGGTATGGTGACCTAGTGAAGTGGTCAGGTTGTCAACCCTCCAAGTGGTAGGTTAGGTGTTCAAATTCTATCGATGGCGAAAATTTGGATAATCACCTATGTAATATTCATATTATAAAAACTGTTACTAACGATTGGGTTAGGATACCTGTAATGGTGGTCACACCAGCATGACTGGTAGGTCATGGGGCATTCG